AGCTCTCAGAGCTGGCCCACAGTTCTAGCCATGTGGCCCCCATGGGCAGGTCACACATGGATATTTACTTCTTCCAAACCAGCTGAAGCATTTCGGACTTCCTCTTCTGCAATCAGCTGTGAAAACTGCTTTCAAAGAGCTACCTAGTTAGGTCTATCCCCTTAGCTGAAGACGGACTGATTTGGGACCTTAATCACATCTGCAAAATCCCTCCAAGGCATGCCTAGATTGGTGTTTAATAATTGGAAGGTGGTATAATCCAAAGGCAGGAGGAACTCTTGGGGGGAGGGAGCAGAGGGTGGATGGTGGTAGAAAGAATCACCTTATATTTTATTTATTGCCTATTTCACCTGCCAGAAAGTAAGCTTCACGAAGGAAGGCATTTGATGTCCTTTTGCCTACTGTTGTATCTATCTCTAGCACCTATGACAGCACCTGGCACATAGTAGGTGCTCAATAAATATGTGTTAAAGGAATCTTTAGATCACTATATATCTACTTAGATCACTACACATCTATATATCACTAACACCACTATACATACATACATACCTATATATATTTACTTCAGGTAACTATATTTACAGGCTAGAAATGGGACCTCTCTCTATATTCAAATTCTGGTTCAGTGAAACGATTTAGGAATCCTTGGAATTCCATATAATTTTATCCCTGCCACAATGATCTGTATGGCTTTAACAAAATACAGGTGATCCTCATTTTTCACAGATTCCATTTTCATTAAAGTTTATCTGTAACGCCAAAATCAATACTCTCATGGTCATTCACAGGCCATGTGCAGAGTGGTAAAAAATGTTAGTCCCCAATGCACATGTCCCCCGCTGATGGTGAACAAGGGGACAATGCTCTGCCTCCTCGTTTCAGCTTTCATACTGTAAGTATGTGTTCTTTTCATAGCATACTCTGTGCCATGCTCCTCACTTTTTTTACACTTGCCTGTTGGTGGGTGTAAATTTTGCTGTTCAAAATGGCCCCTGACGGGCCCCTGGGTGGCTCAGGCGTTGAGCATCTGCCTTCAGCTCTGGTCATGGTCCTGGGATCAAGCCCTGCATCCAGCTCCCTGCTCAGCAGGAGGCCTGCTTCCCCCTCTCCCACTCCCCCTGTGCTCACTCTCACTGTCTCTCTGTCAAGTAAATAGAATCTTCAAAAATAAAATAAAATAAAATGGCCCCTAAGAATAGCGCTAAAATGCTCTCCAATATTCCCAAGCTCAAAGAGACAGCGATGTGCCTTGCAGAGTAAAATACATGTTATCAGGTAAGTGTCATTCAGGCTTGCACGATAGTGCTGTTGGCCTTAAGTTCAAGGCTAATTAAGCAACAATATATATTAAGTAAGGTGTCTTTAACCAGAAACACACACATAGCAGGGTTATGTACTGATCTGTCAATGAAAAGGTGGTGACCACTGGCTCACAGGAACCTAACCCCATCTTTCCCCTAGGAGCAGTGGTTCAGTATTTGCTAATCCAGTGTTCCAGGCAACTTTATAGACCATAAGTACCACGAATAGTGACACTTGACTATATTAGCCTCATTTTACAGATGAAACAATGAAGTTGAGAGAGATGTGAAATGTTAGCTCTCAGCACACTGTAGCACATCATTCTGTTTTATTTTCTCTAGAGCATTTAAGACTGGGAATTGTGTTTACTTATCTTCAGTCTGAGCCACTGCTACTCTAAGTTCCATGACAGTTAGGGACTTAGGGATTTTTGCCCATCTCATTCTCTCAGGGTTATTTCCCCAAGCCAAGAACCATTCCAGGCACATACCCAACCTAATGATTAGAGAAATCTCCTACATGCAATTGTACAAATATCAGGGGTGATTGACACTTTAAAGGGAAGGGCAGTTACTTTCATTATGTTAAAATCAAAATATTTAGTAAGACAAATGCAGGCTTAGGATGAAGTGGAGAGAGAAGAAAGAAACTGAAAAGATCCCCAGAGCTGCCTGAGGTGGCACTGTCTCCAAAACCCAGACAGCAGGTCAGATGGTCTGGGACACAAACTCCACGGCTCAACCAAATGCTGGCAGCTCTACTGAGTAAGGGCAAGAGAGATACACTCTGAAATAGTATTTCTGCTTGGTGTTACATTTATCCTTGATGGAGAAGCCGGCAGGCAGAGAGACTAGGCAGGAGCAGGGATGGTACCTCCAGGAGCCAAGCTCAGGTCAAGCCACATGTGCAAGAGACACTGAGAGCAAAAGCTGGGAGCAGGTAGGTAGGTATCTGAACCTGGCCACGAGAGGCGGCATCTACCGAGGGGGAGAAATGCCGGTCAGACTGCGGGTCTGAGGAGCCCATTCCTTCAAAGGCTTCAGCATTCCCAGTCCGGGCAGAACTGATGGGCTACGGATGCTAGCAGCACTTCCAGCGTCAGAGGGGTGGATGAGAAAGAGGACTCTAGGATTTCCTTTTCATAAACACAGAAAGGAAAATGAGATAAGACCCTCTTACATCAACTCCTACTGTAACAGACAAATAACACAAGAATTCAAGACAAAGAGGCGGGATTCCAGAATTAATGTTCACCGCTGCCCCAAGCAAAAATTGAACAGTAAACAATAAGGATTTCGAAATTAAAACAGAAGAACCACTTTGGTATTCTAATTTAACCTTCAAAAATAAAGAAGATCTAAAGCACCATGAACTGAGAATTCCATTCCACCTCAACACCCTGTACTCCTGAGTTATTATGAGAGCAGACTGCAACGCAATTCAACTCCTGTTCCAAAATGCAACAAGCAACTTCGACAGGACATGCCGAAAGCAGCAGCACGGCTCCTCGGCTCCTCACTTACTGATTCATATTTTGGTAGCAAGGTTACAATTAGCTCACCGGTGGAGAATAAACCTATTTATAACATGGCAGTCCACCTGAAAGACACAATCATCTAAAAAGGTTTTTAGAGGAAAATGAAGTGCAGTTTCTTCCTGTGCTGATTGCAGATTCCCAAGGTCCTTTCGGATGAAGTCCTCAGTCTAACCTTCCTGTGTTCACAGGCACCATTCCAGCCACCTCTCAGCCTCCATGTTCTTATGTAACATTTACATAGTGCCATAAACATACTCAGAGTTGCGTAAGAATTAAAACGTTGCCAAACCAATAAAACCTAAAGCAGGTCACTCCCTCCAGACTGTCTTTGATTAGCACAGGTACGCTGCCCGGTCTACGATGTAAGAGCCTGTCAAAAGACAGAAATTAACTTGAGGAAATCTGAAACGGTCTACAAAAAAATGCACAAATCAGAAGAAATTAACCACACTGTGGCCTGTGGTGCTTCTATCAATCCCAAGAGTATGTTATTCCATTCCATAAGATAAAAAGTAACCCAACATTGCTTGTTCCCTGAAGTCAGAAACTGTGTCTAAAAATACCTCCCAGCCAACTGGCTATCAGTAAGTTAGTCTCACAAATGTCCCAGTAAGAACTACAAAGGCTATTTCCTTACTGTACAGAGGGAAAACTGAGGCAGTCACAGAAAGGTTAAGCAAGTGACTTGTTCAAGGACAACCTGTAAGGGAGCAAAGTTCTGGGGCTGAGATCTGGCTTCCTCCTTCCATCTGGCTCCAACCTTTAACCAGAGTGGCCATTTTATTATGTTTTAATCACATCTGTTCCAGGAGCTCTTTTAACAAAATCAACCAGAGATTCTCTTTCTCTCTACAAGAGTTCACTTTTACTGTACTTCAAATCCATGTCCAATCAACAAAATTATAAGACTTGGCCTAAAATTATATTTTTAAGTCTGTTCACAGAAATCTAAAATGTTCCTTTCAGAACCTCAAACGTCTCCCTTGTTCCTTTTGTCTTAAGAAATTTATGCCATGTTCTCCCACTACTAACTAATGCAACTTTACATTTTTAAATACTGATGTGAAAATCCCAAAGTGAGACCTTAAAACCAGTTAGTTGTATTTATCAAATGGATGCTTATAACATGGCACTCATTCTCCTTGTCACTGGCCTTTTACTAAGCTGCAGCTAATGCACTAACAGAACACCTATCCCTTACTGCCCTCATGTCATGTCCAAGTACCAGCTATCAGAGTTGCCTGGCTCAGCCATTCCTTCAGCTCACCTAGGGGAGTACAGAGAGGAAGCTCAGGGGAGGAAAGCAATCAACTTCTTGTTAATCCCACAGCCTCTATTTTCCCAGAACTGACGTTTTACTTTAAGCCTTTTGCAACAGTGGTCTCTGTAGCATGCACTATTGGCAACTACATGTGTCCCGGAAAAAACTGTAGCGTCTGGCCAAGAAGTTTAAAGGCCTTCGAGAATGTTTGCTGGACACACAACCTAATTTCCAATTTACCAAAAAAAGAAACTAACTCCCTATTATGCCCACCCATCCTCACCCTAACAAACATCCATTTTAGGAAGGTTACAAAAAATGAACTCTGCCCTATTCAGAACCAGCTGGATTACCAATTAAACATTCTTAACTAGGCTCACCACAAGAAAAACCCCAGACACTACACCCAATCAACAGGGAAATAGCTGCTTAAAAACCTAACTGTATGAGGGACAGTATAAAAAATTCTATGGAAAGAATGTAAAGATTTATTCAGACACATAGAAATGACAAACCTGACGGCTGAGTCTCCTTATTTACTATCCTACTAGAGAAATAACATTATGTTACACATTCCAAAAACATGGCCCATAATAAGGCCCAGCAGACATTATTCACGAAAAGCACGATCTTACCCCAACTGTCAGTCCCTGTTCGTAGACCTTCACATGTTTATCAGACCCCACGGCATATTACCCATGCACAGAGCAGCAAGACCCAGGAACACACACGAGGTGCTTAACAGAAGCATTAGCCAGTGAACAAAGACCCCACTGCACAGGCTACACCACTGGGAACAAATATCAAAGCTGGAGATAATGAACTTGTTTTTGAGACTCCAAAGTAGGATGATGTCTTTTCTTGTTTGTCTGGTTTATTAAAGAAGCCTGAACCCACCTGAGAATCATTATTTTTAGTGGAGAGGAGAGCCACAGAACACACACTTGATCTCCCATAGCTGGAAGGTTAGGGGCTGCTGAGAAGTCATAGCCCAGGCTTTGTACATCGGGAGCGAATACAATCCTGATGTCTCTCCCAGATCCATCTGTGGGTCAATAATCACTTCAATATAACTGCCAAATATAACCTTCATCTTCTCCCCCAATGCCAAGACACATTTCAGACGAGTCTCCTAAATATTTTAGGGTTTCATGTGCTCTTCTTAACCCCCAAAACCTCATAAACAACACACCCAGTCGAGTGTCCCACAGAGAGGTACCCACCTCTATAGTGAGAAGGGTGGGGGTGGTGTCAGAGAGCAGAAGGCTGTGGGGGCTGGAAGGTAAGGGGTGTGTGAGGGTGGGGGAGTGCGTGGGGGGCAGGGCTGGAAAAAGGGATCGTGTGGGAAGGTAAATAAGTACTGACCAAGGGCCGGGAAGTCGGTCCAGTGGTGGGATCTTTAAATAATCTTGGGGGTTGGAGGGAGGTTCTAGGATTTCACCTGAAAGGCATCCACAAAGTGATTAACTGAATGGGCCCCCTGGGGTGGGGTGGGGGAAGCGAGGTGGAAAGCAAATACACCTAGATGCAGATTAACCGTTCTGGAACCAGGTTTCCTAGGGTTAGAGAGATTCCAAAGCCAAGCTCCAAAACGTTTAGGGGCCTATTGGTCTTGCTTCCTCCAAACAGCTTCCACAGGGCATGTGTATGTGGGGGGGTTCTGCCCCATTGAACTCAAAGGGGCTGCGCGAAGGGGAAATGTGACTCCCTTTCCCAGAACATTAGGGAGGAAGCAGAGGGAAGGAAAGAGACACCCCAAATGTCCTGAAGGAAAGGTTAGAGACCCCTTCCCCTGTCATCTGAGGTGCGCAAGGGCTCGCAACATCAGGATACCTCAGAGAAGCAAATACCCATCGCCTGAACCCCTCAATCTTGGCGGGAGAAAAGGCGCCCCTCAAGAGCATCTGGAGGGAGGGAATGAAGACCCCCCGCCCCTGGACATGCTGAATGGCAGAAGCACGGACCTCCGAATCTCAGGGAAGGGAGCTCGCACTCCCCACTATGGAACAAGGGGGTGCTGGGAGTGCGACCCTGAGAGCTCCCCGAATCCAGTTCCGCCTGGAAGACGGCTCGGGTCCCCAGGGGCCCCGCGTGAGCTCGGTCCCAGCGGGGCAGCCGCGCCTTGGAGGTCTGGGGACGCCGACCGCGGGTCACCCCGACTCCTCCGCGCCCCCCACCCGGCCATATTGTGCGCGTGGGGAGGGGGCGCGCTGTAGCCAGGGGCCGCGGCTCGAGGCCTCGCCCTCGCCCGGCTCTCTCCATCCCGGCCTCCGCCCCCCGGCCCGGGACTCACCCTGGATTCCCCGGGGCCCGGACCCGCCGCTGCCGGCAAGCAGGAGAACGACAAGGGGGAAGAAGGAGGAGGCTCTGGCCGACTCCGCCATAGTAACCGCCGCCGCCGCCGCCGCCGCCGCCGCCGCAGCCCAGCAGCGCCCAGCGCGCGCGCGCGCGCCCCCGGCGCCTCCCCTCCTCCCTCGGCCCCGCTCCCGCCTCCCTCTCCTCCGCCCGGCGCCGGCACGTGCGCTCCCGGCCGAGCCGGCGCCGCGGCCGCCGCGCGCGCCCCCGAAGGGCGGGGCCGGGTGCGCGCGGGCGCCCGCCTTAAAGGGGAGTGTCCCTGTTAAAGGGGTGGGAGGGGCTCGCGCCTCGGCCACCTCACGGGTGGGTGCCGAACGCTCAGCTGAGAGGTCCGGGTCTGACACGCGGCCTCCACCCTGGCCTGCACCCCGCCCCGCGCACAGTTATCAGCACCCACCCCTCCTCCTCCGCATCGAATGCCATACGGGTCGCGTGCGTGTGTTCCTGTTCCCTCCATCCCCACTGCTTCGCCTCAAGCCCCCATCACGTCTCACGTCCCGCCGGGGTCCTCGCAACCCGCCTCCCTGTCCTGCGCGGCAGGCTGCGGCAACCTGTGTGATCACATCCTGGGGTGCCCCTTTGCAGAACAGAGTCAGGTTTTTAATGCTAGCGCTCAGTCTTGGGGAGGGTGCTGCGGGAGGCACTCCCATTCTGCTGTTTACCTTTCGGTAAACAGTTTGACATTATATATCAAATGCCTTAAAATATCCATACCCATGGGCTGGTGTTACTCCTTGTCTGTCTTCCAAGAAATAATAGATGAGGACCAATATGTATGAAAAATGTTAACAGCTGCATGTTTATCATCATAAAAAGCTGGACCCTTAAGGAGGCAGTAATAGAAGACAAATAAATGATGGCCCATCCATGGGATGGAGCATTATTTAGTAATTAAAAATTATATTTATAAAAACCAATAAGGTGAGATGTTTGTGAGATAATGTTAAATGAACAAGCAAAATACCAAACTATTTACTGTATTATTCTAATTTTGTTGACAATATATAACTGTATGGGGAAAAGACTGGAAAGGAATTACCCAATATTATCAGTAGTTATTGCCAGGATTTTAAAATTTTTTTTACTTTTCCTTGAAACACTTCAATGTTTTCTAAATATTTTACAGATGAACAAGTGTTACTTTCAAATTTAGAAAAAAGTACTTAAAGAAGGTTAACTGGGGGCGCCTGGGTGGCTCAGTGGGTTAAGCCTCTGCCTTCGGCTCAGGTCATGATTCCAGGGTCCTGAGATAGAGCCCCGCATCAGGCTCTCTGCTCAGCAGGGAGCCTGCTTCCCCTCCTCTCTCTGCCTGCCTCTCTGCCTACTTGTGATCTCTGTCAAATAAATGAATAAAATCTTTAAAAACAAATAAAATAAAAAAGGTTAACTGAATCAATCGCCCATATCTTTTTGAAAAGAGTTTGCTTTCTTTAGCTTGAGAAACAGTTTTAGCTCTTGAGGATGTCAGAGTCTTTAGAACCAGAGTTCTGGATCTGAATTTTCCTTTTCTTACTAACTGGTATGAATGCCTGGGCAAGTTTCTTTAACCTCTCTAAGTACAGTGCATCATCATCCAAGATCTAGGGGTGGAGAGGATGACCAGAGGTGGGGGGCAACATTTCCCAAATGGAATCTTCATCTTCTAAGTTGTTACAAATCTGAAGAACACCCATCCTCACATCCAGAAAAAAAAACAAGACTGCAGCCACACTCCTCAGACAACTCACGCACAAACAAACACGTGCAAAGTCACGCAGAGACGCAGTTGGTCAGTAGCTGCATGACTAAACCCCTTACTTTTATACTGCTCTCCCTCATCACCCCAAAATGGTCACCCCCTGAGTCCATCTAACTGGTCTCTCAAACTCTGCCCCACCCATTCTTAGGGTGCCCAGCTGTGATGTGCACAGCGCTGGGTTACTGTCTTAGTTTCCTAGGGCTGCCTTAACAAAGTTCCACACACTGCATGGCTTAAAATAACAGAAATTTATTCTCTCACAGTTCTGGAGGCTAGAAATCTGAAACCAGGGTGTCAGCAGGCCCATGCTCTCTCTCTCAAGCCTCTAGGGAAGAATCCTTCCTTGTCTCTTCTGGCTTCTGATGGTTCCCAGAATCCTTGGTTTTCCCTATCTTGCGGAAGCATAATTTCATTCTCTGCCTCCATCTTCACATGGCCATCTTTTCTCCAAGTATCTCTGTGTCCAAATTTCTCTCTTCCTATAAAGACACAAGTCACTGAATCAGGGCCAACCCCAATCCACTATGAGCTCAAGTAATTTTAATTTGATTATATCTGCAAAGATCCTGTTTCTAAATAAGATCACATTTATAGGTTCTGGGTGGACCTGAATTCAGGGAAGACACTATTCAATTCAGTTACATTCACCAATCCCTGTGGTTGCTTTATTCCTAGACTGCAAGGTCAACTGTGTACCTGAATATACACCCTGGGGAACCAGAACACTGGGGCGACAACCCCAAACCCAGCTCCACTGTCTCACTTGATAGCATTTGACTTTGGGCAAGGTATTTTGCCTCCCTAAGCCTCGATTCACTCATCTGCAAAATGGAGTTGATAATAGTTCTATCTCAGGGCACCTGGGTGGCTCAGGGGGTTAAGTGTCCAACTCTTGATTTCAGCTCAGGTCATGATCTCAGGGTCATGAGGTCGAGCCCTATGTCAGGCTCTGCGTTCGGCAGGGAGTCTGCTTGAAGTTCCCTCTGCCCCTCTCCCTGTGCTCTCTCTCTCAAGTAAATAAATCTTCTTAAAAAAATAGTTCTATCTCATAGAGATGTTGCAAGGATATCATATGTAAAGCAGTTAGCATAGCCTCTGACACATAGGAAGTGATATAAAAAGAATAGCTATTACGATATGACGATTTGACATATACTGCAATCTGCAATCCTATGAAGTGGTTGAGGCATGTTGGTGTGTGTGCAATTTACAAGTGAGGCAGTTGAGACCCAAAGAAAGTGAGCAACTTGCCCAAGCCCATGTATAATTAAGTATTGAAGGAACAGCCCGCTGGTCCTGTGCTCCTTCAACATCATAGCATCTCATGCATTCCCAAGGATTGGTCTCCGAGAGCCAGTTGAAGGTGCGGACATTAGACTGGATGGGTTGTGGGAGGGGTTAGTTATATCCTCACACCCTATTCCTGAGGGTTTGGCACATCCCCTCAAATCAGGGCTTTCCTATGTGATGTGCCTACCTTGCCTTTTAGGTCCTGAGCTGAGCCCTAGGGCACTCAGTCTACTTGTGTCCTGCCCACAGCTCCTCTCTCTGACCATCCCTGAAGGCTTCAGCAAAGTGTCCATTTCTGTAAAGCTCCTTAATCTTAGGACTGGACCCACATCACAATCTACAAACTTCCTCTTTGCCTTGTTCTGTCCCTTTGTCATGGGATTCCCCAGAGCTTACTCCCCGGGCTCCAATGACTAGACTGTCCAGTGTTATGGCTGCCATCTTAGTCACAGTGCACCAAGACATTGTCATCTTAGGGGATCTGGCTTAGTTCACCTTGATGAGCAGCAGACTCATTAATCTCAAGAAGGGAATAGCTTATCTTCATTCACCCATTCTACAAGCATGCATGGAGCACCTATGGTATACCAGGTGCACCATGTAAAAGAGAGATAAGTCATAATCTTTGCCCTCATGGAACCTACAATAATAGAGGCAAGCGTTTTTTAAAAAGGCAACAACAGGGATGCCTGGGTGGCTCCACTGGTGAAGTTGTTGATTCTTGTTTTCAGCTCAGGTCATGATCTCAGAGTTCTGAGATCGAGCCCTGCATCAGGCCCTGCACTGAGCATGGAACCTGCTTACGATTCTCTCTCTCCTTCTGCCTTATGTCCTCCCCCACCTCCCTCCTCTTAAAATAATAAAAAAAAAGACAACAACATGTGTTTATGCTGTAACACACAACGGTAAAGGCTCAGTGGGGGCACTCAAGAGATATGGATGTCTCAACTCTTCAGGGACAAGCTGAAGAGGGGGGAAAGCTTTCACAGAGTGGCCATGCTACAGCTGACTCTTAGAAGATCAAAGAACATCCCCTAGGTAGACAGGCTGGTGTGGGGCAAGGGAAAGCAGGAGGTGGTTCCCAGCAGACAGAGCAGTACGAACAAGATACTGAAGTAAAATTGCCTGGCATTTAGAGGAAGCAAGAGCAACCTGGCAGCACAGAGGGTGAAGGGGGCACGGGGTGAAGGGGGTGCGGGGTGAAAGGGGCTGGTGCAGGGTAGACAGGTAACGTTGAAGAGATAGATGTGGACGGATACTTGGAGATGTTATTTTCTCCAGCTTTCTTGGCAGGGTTCTAAGCAGGCAGTTTTGTGTTTTGTTTTTGTTTGTTTGTTTGTTTGTTTGTTTTTAATTCAATTACCATATAGCGTATTATTAGTTTCAGAGGTAGAGTTCAGTGATTCATCAGTTGCATACAACCCCCAGGGATTCAAGAGATCGGGGGTTTCTAATGTGAGAAGGGATAAAGTAAGATGAGGAACCAAGAATGTCTAGGATTTGAGGATTTGAAGCCTGATGCTTCAAGGGGATGATTACCCGAGTAGGTTCAGTGCAACATGGGATAGAGGCCTAACCTCAGGGGGCTATATGTGAATGGCAAGCAGAGGCTTAGAAAGACTGAGAGTCATCTGTTCTTTAGAAGAACTTGGCTGAGGGGCACCTGGGTGTCTCAGTCAGTTAAGCATCCAACTCTTGATTTCAGGGCAGGGTTGTATGTAAGTTGAGCGCCACATCTCTGAGCTCTGCTCTGGATACTGGGTGTGGAGCATGGAGTCTGTTTAAGATTCTGTTTCCTGGGGCACCTGGGTGGCTCAGCTGGTTAAGCATCTGCCTTCATTTCGGGTCATGATCCCAGGGTCCTGGGATAGAGCTCCCTGCTCCATGGGGAGACTGCCTCTCCCCCTCCATCTGCCTCTCCCCCAGTTCATGCTTTCTCTCACTTGCTCTCTCCCCAAAATAAATAAAATCTTAAAAAAAATTCTATCTCTCCCTCTGACCCTCCCTCTT